AGATGTTTGATAAGGTTCCTCATGGTAGGCTCATGCAGAAGGTAGGGAGGCATGGGATAGGGGGAAATGTGGCAGATTGGATTCAGAATTGGCTGACCCTTAGAAGACAAAGGGTGGTAGTGGATGGAAAATATTCAACATGGTGCTCAGTTATGAGTGGTGTACCACAAGGATCTGTTCTGGGTCCACTTCTATTTGTGATTTTTGTAAATGATTTGGATGTAAGAGTGGAAGGGTGGATTAGCAAGTTCGCAGACGATACGAAGGTGGGTCACGTTGTGGACAGTGCGGAGGGCTGTTCTAGGTTACAAAGGGACATTGATAGGATGCAGAGCTGGGCTGAGAAGTGGCAGATGGCGTTTAACCCAGAAAAGTGTGAGGTGATTCATTTTTGGAAGGACAAACTTGAAAGCAGAATACAGGGTTAATGGAAAGATTCTTGGCAGTGTGGAGGAGCAGAGGGATCTTGGGGTTCATGTCCACAGTTCCCTTAAAGCTGCCACCCAGGTGGATAGAGTTGTTAAGAAGGCGTATGGTGCGTTAGCTTTCATTAATAGAGGGATTGAGATCAGGAGCCGTGAAGTTATGCTCCGGCTATACGAAAGCCTGGTTCAGCCACATCTGGAGTATTGTGTCCAGTTCTGGTCGCCTCATTACAGGAAAGATGTGGAAGTGTTGGAAAAGGTGCAGAGGAGATTTACCAGGATGTTGCCTGGAATGAAAGAAGGTCTTACGAGGAAAGGTTGAGAGAGCTCGGGCTTTTCTCTTTAGAACGAAAAAGGATGAGAGGTGACTTGATAGAGGTGTACAAAATGATCAAGAGGTATAGATAGAGTAGACAGCCAGAGACTTTCACCTCAAAATCTTTTACTCAAGAGCATTGAGCTAAGCTTCACTGTGTGAATGGTGAGAGGATCTTGTAGAACTTATTCTGTAAAAGGTTTGATGGATGGCGTATGTAAAAAATGGTTTGTTTCTCATCCAACAGGTTTTATGGAGCGGAGATAATCTGCGGATTGCAATTCCTGCACTCGAAGGGGATTATTTATCGGTGAGTGTGAGGTCATTCTGAGAGTTCAGGACACTACACTGGGTCACCTTACAGTTGGACAGAGACAGTGGGACATCTTTCAGGGTTATTGCAAATTTGTTGAGAGCGGAGGAAATGGGTCTGGTGGGTCAGATGAGCTCAGAAGTTGTGAGATGGGGTTTGGGAAACTCGAGGAAGATACAGCTTCAGGGTTGAGATAGGGGTAATGACAGGAAGTTTGACCAATGGCCAAGATATGGCAGAGGCAGCTAACTGGGTGCTCCTGATCTTAGAGACAAGTACTTACTCAGTATCTTTATTCTCATATAGGAAGTATGGGTAGGGAAGATGAGGGCGGGTGGATTCTGGACTAGAGCACAACATTTAGATGAGCAAAATCTGTTCCAATTGTATCTGAGTCCAGTCAGTTCTGGAGTGATGGTTCACTGTTGACTATGACCTTTCAATGGGAGCTCCTGCAGCTGAGGGCTGGAATGGCTGAGGCTATCTGAATGGGACATTAAAGGTGGAGCGAAGAGTACAATTGAGCAGATCAGTATTTGTAACAAAGTTGTCAGGAATTGAGGTCCTAAAATTGGGATCTTGAAAGTCAGTGAATTGGGAAGGATCTTTCCTTCCTCCAGGATGAAGGGTTTGGATGGGAAGTGGAATGTGATATCAGACTGAACAGAGATGGCACCATCTGTGATTGACAATGGGAAAGGGTTAGATCCATGTGAGATGGGAGGCGGAAGGAGCTAGCTGTCAGCACATGGGCTAAGGAAGCTCCAAACAGAAGGAGAGGTCGGGCTAGGGACAGTGAACTCTGAGGAGAGACAGGATCAACTGCAATCCAGTGTTGTGAAAATTACAGGGACTGAGAGAAAAGCGATGAGGATATTTTGGTGAGAGACTCGGTCTGTGGTTTCAACAATCGAGAACAAGGATTTTAAAGGACAGGTGAGAGTGTTGCACCAAAGGTGAAATGCTCAAACATGGAGAAAGTGCTGAGGAGTCAAGACGACAAGCTGAGGCATTAACATCGCCCAACCATGCAGCTGCCTCTGCTCATCCACTGCAGAGACCCTCACCCATGTCCTACACAGAATCTCAGAATTGTTAGAATGCAGGAGGAGGCTATTTGGCCCATCCTATCTGTACCAGCTCTGAGCATTTTGATTCGGTGCCTGTCTTCTGATATTCCCTGTGACCCTATACATTGATTTGTATTTGTCATTTATCTATGAACTATGGCCCCTCTCAAATGCCTCAGTTAAACCTGCCTCCAGCACATTTCCAGGCAGTGCATTCCCAACCCTAAGTATTTGCTGTATGAAAAAGGTTTTTCTGACTTCACATTTGTTTATTTTGCTAAAGATATTTAAATCTGTGCCCCTCACCATCTCTCCCCGCTACCCCACCTCCGACCTCCCCCCAGAAATTCTTGATCTGTTTACAAGCAGTAAGAGTTTCTTCCAATCCACTTAGTCCAACCCACTCATTTTGGAAGGTCGAGTTTAAATGCAGAATACAGGGTTAATGGTAAAATTCTCGGCAGTGTGGAGGAACGGAGGGATCTTCGGGTCCTCGTCCATTGATCCCTCAAAGTAGCGACCCAAGTTGATAGGGTGGTGAAGAAGGCATATGGTGTGTTGGGTTTCATTGGCACGGGAATTGAGTTTAAGAGCTGTGAGGTTATGCTGCAGCTCTATACAACTCTGGTTAGACCTCACTTGGAATAATGTGTTCAGTTCTGGTCACTTCATTACAGGAAGGATGTGGAAGCTTTAGAGGGGGTGCAGAGGAGATTACCAGGATGCTGCCTGGACTGGAGGGCAGGTCTTATGAGGAAAGGTTGAGGGAGCTAAGGCTTTTTTTCATTGGAGTGAAGAAGGATGAGAGGTGACTTGATAGGGGTTTGCACGATGATGAGAGGCATAGATGCAGTGGATAGTCAGAGACATTTTCCCAGGGCAGAAATGACTATTACGAGGGGACGTAATTTCAAGTTGATTAGAGGAAGGTATAGGGGAGATGTCAGAGGTATGTTCTTTACACAGAGTGTGGTGGGTGTATGGAATGTGCTGCCGGCAGTGGTAGTGGAGTCAGATACATTAGAGACTTTTAAATAACTCTTGGATAGGCACATGGAGGATAGTAAAATGTAGGGTATGCAGGGTACATTGACCTTAGTAGGATAATAGGTCAGCACAACATCGTGGGCTGAAGGGCCTGTACTGTGCTGTACTGTTCTATGTTCTATGACTTTCAAACTCTGTCAAATTTCACCTCAGCTTTCTCCCCTCCAAAGAAAACAGTCCTGACTTCTCCAGTTGGTCCTCATAGCTGAAGTTTCCTATCCCTGGAACCAATCTCAAACTTCGTGTGACTGTAATGGACAGAGTGCACGTATTTCCTATGGTATAGTGAATTGTACACGGTACTCCAGCTGACGTCTAACCAGTGTCCTAAATAAGTTTGTTCAAACCTCCCTGCTCTTGTATATTGTATCTTTATTAATGAAGAATAATGTAGAATACTGGTTTGTTGACCACCCATTCTAGCTGTCCTGCACCTTTTCATAACTTGCACACAGATACACCCAAGTCTTTCTGCTTCTGCATGCTCGACTTGGGATTAGATAGGAAAACAATCCCAAGTTTACAGCAGAGAAGGCTGAAACGAGGTGTGATTGAAGTGTACAAAGTTCTGAGGGTTATATACAGGGTAGGCAGGAATAAACTATTCCATAAGACCATAAAATCTAAGTAGAATTAGGTGATTTGGCCTATTGAATCTGCTCCGCCATTCGATTGTGGCTGATATATTTCTCAACCCCTTTCTCCCGCCTTCTCCCCATAACAGATAAAGATAGCAGTAATTCAGGAGACACAGCAAAAACTCATCCCTAGGAAAAAGAAGCACACTAAAGGGAAGATGAGGCAACCATGGCTGACGAGGGAAGTCAGGGGCAGCATAAATGCAAAAGGGAAAGCATATAATGTGGTGAAGGGCAGTGGGAAACCAGAGGATTGGGAAGCCTACAAAGACCAACAGAGGACAATGAGAAAAGAAATAGGGAGGGAGAAGATTAACCACGAGGGTAAGCTTGCCAGTAATATAAAAGAAGATTACAAGAGTTTCTTTAGCTATATGAAGGGCAAAAGAGAAGCAAAAGTGGACATTAGGCCTCTGGAAAATAATGCTGGAGAAGTAGTAATGGGGAACAAAAAAATGGCAGAGGACCTGAATAAGTACTTTGTCAGTCTTTAGGGTAGAACACACAAATAAATCCCAAAAGTTCAAGAGAATCAGGGGAGAGGTAAGTGTGGTGGCCATCACCAAAGAGAAGGAGCTAGAAAATCTGAAAAGTCCGAAGGTGGATAAATCACTTGGACCAGATGGACTACACCACAGTGTTCTGGTGGGGATAGCTGAAGTTTAGTGGTGATCTTTCAGGAATCGCTGGAGTCAGGGAGGGTCCCAGAGGACTGGAAAATCGCTAACATGACACCCCTGTTTAAGAAGGGAGTAAGGCAAAAGATGGGAAATTACAGGCTGATTTTAGCCTGACCTCTGTCAGAGTCCTGCAGCACGGAGACAGGTCCTTTGACCCAAACAGGTCCATACCAACCAAAATGTCCATCCATGCTAATCCCATTTCCCTGCACTTGGCCCATATCCTTCCAAACTTTTCTATCCATGTATTCGTCCAAATGCCTTTTAAATGTTGTTAATGTACCCACCTCAACCACCTCAGCTTGCCGTTCATTCCACATGTCTACCACCCTCTGTGTTTTTTAAAAAAAAAGTTGCGTCTCAAGTTCCCATGAATTCTTTCCCCTCTTACCTTAACTGATGCCCTCTAGTCCTCAATTTTCCTCAACCCTCGGAAAAAGACTGAGTGCATTCACCCTATTCATGCCTGTCATGATCTTATACACTTCTATAAGATTGCCCCTCAGACTCCTACACTCTAAAGAAAAAAGTCCTAGCTTGTCCAAACCTGTCCCTATAACTCAGTCCATTGAGTCGTGGCACCATCCTTGTAAATTTCTTCTACACTCTTTCCAGTTTAATAACATCCTTCCTATAGCAAGGTGACCAAATTTGAGCACAATACTCCAAGTGCAGCGACATAACTTCCCAACTTCTGTATTCAGTGCCCTGACTGACAAAGGCCAGTATGCCAAAAGCCTTCTTCACTGCCCTGTCTATCTGTGACTCCACTTTCAGAGAACCGTGCACCTGAACTCCAAATTCCTCTGTTCCACTACACTCCTTAAGGCCCGACCATTCACTATGAAATGCCTACCTTGATTTGACTTTCCAAAATACAGCACCTCTCACTTATCTATATTAAACTCCATTTGCCATTTCTCGGCCCACTTCCCCCGCTGATCAAGATCCTGCTGCAATTTCTGATAACCTTCTTCACTGTCCACGATACCGCCTGTTTTAGTGTCATCCACAAACTTACTAATCATGCCTTGTACATTCTCATTAGCAAGTTACTTTTAACTTTTGGAAACCTGAGATACCCAATTTTAAAGCAATTATTTAACAAGAGCTGTTAGTGTTTGTGATCAAATAGGAATGTTTGATTTCTGTGTTAAAACTATGAGAATGTGAACAATCCCCTTTGGAAATAGTTAAGAGATATTGCAAAAGAAAGGAAAGTGTAGATGAAGCAAATTAATTCATAGCTTTCTCTTGAAGATATTTAGAGTCTTTACAGGGCACTTAGCTTGGAGCAGCATCCAGGATCATTCAGGAAAGCCTGCAGCATCAGCCAGAAGGCAGGGATACAGTAACCAGAAGCCTATAAATCTATGGACCATGGGCAGGCAGAAGGGACTGGTTTAACTTGGTGTCATGTTCAGCACAACATTGTGGGCTGAAAGGTCTGTTCCTGTGCTGTACTGTTCTATGTTCTAGTGCAGTACGGATTCGGGCGTAGTCTCGGAAAGTGGGTGTATAGGTGCAGCATATAATAAGAAAGGCAAATAGAATCCTGGTATTTATTGCAAAAGGACTGAATTATAAAAGTAAAGAAGTGTTGTTACAATCCTATATGGCATTGGTGAGACCACACCTGGAAGATTGTATCCAGTTTTTGTCTCCTTACTTGGGGAAGGATGTGGTGGCACTGGAGGCAGTTCACCTGATTGATTCCAGGGATGAAAGGTCTGTCGGACAAGGAGCAGTTGAATATTTGGTGCTTGTACTCACTGGGGATCAGAACAATGAGGGGGGACCCAATTGAGGTATATAAAATGCTAAAGGGGATTGATAAGGTGATGTGGAATTGACGAATTGACATTTGCCACCCCCCACCCTTGTGGGACAGTCTCGAACAAGAGGGCATAGATATAGAGTGAGAGGTTCAAAACTGAGATAAGGAGAAACTACTTCTGAGGGTTGTGAATCTGTGGAAGTCACTGCCCCAGAGTGCCACAGAGGCAGGGCGGCATGATGGCTCAGTGGTCAGCACTGCTGCTTCACAGCACCGGCAACCCAGGTTCAATTCCACCCTTGGGCGACTGTCTGTGTGGAGTTTGCACGTTCTCCCTGTGTCTGCGTGGGTTTCCTCCGGGTGCTCCAGTTTCCACCCACTGTCCAAAGATGTGCAGGGTAGGTGGATTGGCCATGCTAAATTGCCCATAGTGTTCAGGGATGTGTAGATTCGGTGGGTTATAGGCAGTTGGGCCTGGGTGGGATGCTCTGAGGGTCACTGTGGACTTGTTGGGCTGAAGGGCCTGTTTTCACACTGTAGGGATTCTATGAAAAACAGATACATGAAAGAAATAGACATGTTTCTGATGAAAAGCGGGATAAAGCGCTACTGGGAGCAGGCAGGGAAGTGGTATTGAGACGAGAATAGGATCAGCCACGATCATGTTAAATGGCAGAGCTGGCTCGAGGAGCTGAATTGCGTACTCCTGCTCACTCCTATGTTCCTAAGAGTCTAATGAAAACCACAAATCTGGTTTACTCATGTCCTTTAGGGAGGGAAAACTGTCATCCTTACCCGGTCTGCTCTATATGTGACTCCAGACCCACAGCAATGTGTTTGACTCATAACTGCCCTCTGGGCAATTAGGGATGGGCAATAAATGCTGGCCTAGCCAGTGACGCCCTCATTCTGTTAATTAATTTTGAAAAGAAGGCCAAGTACAAAACATCGGTATGGGGGAGCATTTGGGAATTAGCGATACAAATCAATCCAGGATTAAGATCCCAGACGAGAAAAGGGTAGGTTTTAGGGATCTAAAAGTTGAATGTTTTGTCCACCAAAATGCATTTCCAATGAATGAAAAATGGGAGACATTCAAAAGAGAAGAACAGGGAGCGAGCTAGGTTAGAAAATAAGAGAGAACTGTGGATGCTGTAAATCAGGAACAAATACAGAAGTTGCTGAAAAGCTTAGGTCTGGCAGCAACTGTGAAGAAAAAAAGTCAGTGTTAATGGTTCAGGTCCGGGTCTGTGTAAGGGTCTTTGGACCCGAAATGTTAACTCTGATCTTTTCTTCACAGATGCTGCCAGACCTGAGCTTTTCCAGCAACTTTTGTTTGTGCAAGCTAGGTTCATAGCCATGTGAAATAAATACAGGGAATCCAGGAATAAAGGATTTTACGCACAAGTAAAGATTAGAGAGATTGGGCTTATTCTCATTGGAGCAAAGAAGTTTAAGAGGTGACATTTATTGAAGTGTTCAAAATTATGCACAATTTCAAGATTTTAAGCATGTGAGCCTGGAGTGAATGACCAGAAATGTCACTATTCGGTGAGTTGTTAGGATTTAGAATGTGCTGCCTGGAAGAGTGGCGGAGGCAGATTCCATAGGGGAGAGAGCTGGATATATATTTAAAACTGATGAATTTGGATGGCTATGGACAGATGGCTAGTAGAGTGGGATTATCAAGGTAGCTCTTTCGGGTGCTGGTACACAGACAATAGATTGAATGACCTCCTGTAAAACTCTATGATTCTCACCTTTGGTCCCCTGACTAATCAAGAACCTATGTATCTCTGTCTTCAATACACTCAATGACTTGGCCTTGGCAGCCCTGTGAGTTCCACAGATTCACCACCCTCTGGCTGATGAAACTCCTCACCTCAGTTCTAAAAGGTTAGGATCATAAGCCACCCTTTTCCGTCGCCTCTAGTGAGATGCCACGACCAGACGCACACTGCCGTCCCATCCTTTGTCAGCATTCCACAGGTATTGTTCCCTCCGGGACACCTTGGTCCACTCATCCATCACTGTCCCTTCGATTTACTTATGTCCCATGTGAGGGGGTGGGTAGAGAAGAGAGAAATGTAGTAGTATCACACGGCAGAAATTCATCAAACCTCCTTGGGTAACACCTTCCAAACCTACACCACATCCATCTAGAAGGACATGGACAACAGATACATGGGAACACCAACCCCTGCAAGTTCCCCTCCAAGTCACTCACCATCCTGACTTGGAAATATATTGTTGTTCCTTTGCTGTCATTGGGTTTAAAATCTTGCTGCTCTCCCTTTTATGGCACTCCTATTCCCTCCTTAACCCTGGAAGCAGATGGCACCTCGACAGCAAAGGAAGCTCTCCTCTATTTTGTCCTAGAATCACTGAAGAATGGTTGGTACCTGGCCTTGGTGCCCAGTCACAAGACACTTGGCCTCCCAGACCTCCCAAACCCTGCATCTTGCTACTCCATCCTCCCTGCTCCTGGATTTACGAGAGTGAACCAGCCTATGGTTGGAGGAGCAGCTCCTCACCATTTGTTTCCATTCTGATAGGGTGACTTTTTCCTGTTTTTGTTGGTATTGTTTTGGGCAATTCTGACTTCAGTCGCAATCTTTTTCTGGATGAAGCTTGCTCTGCCCACACCCACAGTGCCGGGGTGTCCCAGATATCTCCTCCCCAACCGCTTGAACAATACAGCAATTGAAATACAGCTCACAATGGGTTACAGTGTCTTGTGCTGCAACACCTTCCACAACCTCCTTGGTTTAAAATGGTCCTTTTCCAATTTTGGTCCACACTCTAAATACAGAGTAAAGTAAAGAAATGTGGTCTTTACAATCCAATCCTGTCAGAACATCAGAGTTGAATTTTCATGGCTCTTAAAGGTATTTTGCTTTTCAATTCTCACTTTCCATAAATTGTTGTTAGAATTTAAAAACCACAAAAGAACTTTCCAGTTTAACTGTGTTCTTGGTCTTTTGATGCAGGGATCTCAAACTGGACAATGTGATGTTAGACAAGGATGGGCATATCAAAATCGCTGACTTTGGGATGTGCAAGGAGAATGTGTTTGGAGAGAACAGAGCTACCACTTTCTGTGGAACACCAGATTACATTGCACCAGAGGTGAGTGCTTTCACCATGTCGAGAGTCCGTCCAGCAGCTCTTTGCTTCATTTGTGGGGATTCCCCAAGAGAACAAGAGGAGAATTTTTGCTCTTGGGATCTGTACTGCTGTTGCTTGTGATAATTGTCTTGTGTCTTGTGTCCTCTGTCTCGCTTTGGTGTTTGCTCCCTCATGCACCTTGTGCTTGGCTCTGTGGACCCAGGCTGGCTTCGTCCCTATCTCCCATACCTCGGTCCCTCCCAGCCTCTGTGTCTTGTCTCCAATAATCTTGATTGCTCTCTTTCGATGTTTCCTTTCCTGCTAGATCTTGCTGGGCCAGAAGTATACCTTCTCGGTTGATTGGTGGTCATTTGGGGTGCTGCTATATGAGATGCTGATTGGTCAGTCACCATTCCATGGTGATGATGAGGATGAACTGTTTGAGTCCATCCGGGTGGACACTCCTCACTATCCTCGTTGGATCACTAGGGAATCCAAGGACATCCTGGAAAAGGTACGTACCTGCCTTTATGTTGTTACTCTGAATAATAATTAATTGAAGGATTGACGTCATCATCCTGCTCTGACCAAGTCCAATTGATCCACCCTGCATCATTCAGTCTGGAGACTGTCTGTCTGTCTGTCTGTCTGTATGTGCATGCATGCGTGTGTCTGTGTTTATGCACAGTTCCATTGGTGGAGGGGGGAGAAGTGTTTTCTCAACATGATGGGTGAGATATGGCAAAATCTTGCATCTGGAGCATTGAAAAACTGACTGGATTCATTGCGGTCTTTGCTTAACCCTTTCTCGAGATTAGTTGGCATTTAAAATCAGTGAGAGAAATTGGGCATGTGTAAACCCAGCGTTCAAACCAATCCCTGAGGGTGGGTTTGGGGAATTGGCTGTGGTCTTGCCATATCGTTAACTATGTGTATGGCTCAGCACAATTGATTTCAAATTGTTTGCTTTTCTTCAAATCCCTCGTCCATATCTCCCTGATTGCCAGCCCCTGAACCTTCCAAGATCTCTGCTCCATTTAATTCCAGACTCTCCTGCAGCACTACACCTTCAGCTGGCTGGGATTCCCAACCTAAACCTTTTTTAATTCAATTCACTCCCAAACCCACATCCTGGACGGAGTTTCAGGTCGTGGTGTCGCACAGATCTCCGTGTGGGGCTTTGTAGGTTTTTTTTTTCTAATCAACCTGTTCAGGGATTTGCTATACATCTTGGAGCAAATTGGAGTTGAGCCAGGGCTTCCTGGCTCAGAGGCAGGGACACTACCACTGCACCACTCAAGCCCTTTGGGGCATTGTATTATGTTTTGTTTGCTAAAGGCCTGGAATTGGATTATTATACTTTGCTGCATTTCACACACACACTTTGTTTCTTGTTTAAGCTGTTTGAAAGAGATCCAACAAAGAGACTCGGCATTGCAGGAAACATCAAACTACACAACTTCTTCAAAACGGTGAACTGGACAGCACTGGAGAAAAGGGCAATTGATCCTCCATTCAAACCCAAAGTGGTGAGGATCCCACCCCCTCGCCTCATTCTCCTGAAACAATTCCTTGGCGGGCCTGTCTCTTTTTTTCTTGCATGTTCCCTCCCTGTCCCCCCAACCCCTTGCAGCACCAACCCCACCCCACCCCTTCCCTCACAAACCCATCACTTTGTGCCTCCCCTGGCTTTCTCTCTCATGACCCTCCCCACCACCGCCCCCCCCCCCAAAAAAAAATGGACCTTCCCTCATGACCCTCTTCCACCTCACAATCGACCGCCCCCCCCATCCACCACCTGCTTTCTCTCACTTCCTCTCACTCTTGCTCCTGCAGAATCTGTACGGGTAGTGTTGAGGAGCCACAAAGGAAAGAGAGACCCCAAAAGGAGTTGTGTACAGGTGTCCTAGCAATAGCCAGGATGTGGGGAACAAAATAAATCAGGATATAGAAAAGACAATGTAAGAAAGGCAGTATTACAATAATCATGGGGGACTTCAATATGCAGTGGACTCGGAAAATCAGGCTGTTGTGGATACTAAGGAAAGGAATTCATGGAATGTCTGCAAGATGGGCTTTTTTAAGAGCAGTCTATGGTAGAGCCCTCTAGGGAACAGGCAGTTCTGGATTTGGTGATGTGTAATGAGGCAGACTTGATTAGGGAGCTGAGGGTGAAGGAACCTGTAGGACCATAATATGATAGAACTACCCCTGCAGTTTCACAGGGAGAAGATTGAATCAGATATAATGGTATTATAACTGAGGAAAGGTAACTACAAAGACATAAGGGAGGAACTGGCCAGAATTGATTGGAAGGGAAAAATTCTTTGAGGAGGTAACAAGCAAGTTAGACAAAGGAGAGCCGATGGATATGATCTATTTGGATTTTCAGAAGGCCTCTGACAAGGTGCCACACAGGAGGCTGCTAAATAAGGTAAGAGCCCATGGTGTTAGCGGCAAGGTACTGGCATGGATAGAGGATTGTCTGACTGGCAGAAAGTGGGGATAAAGAGGTCTTTTTCAGGATGGCAGCCAGTGACTAGTGGAGCTCTACAGGGTTCGCTGATGGGGCCACAACTATTCATGTTATACATTAATGATTTGCATGAAGGAATTGATAGCATTGTTGCTAAATTTGCACAAAGATAGGTAGACCGGGAAGAAGCAGGGAGGCTGCAGAAGGACTTGGACAGGCTGGGAGAGTGAGCAAAAGAGTAACAGATGGAATACAGGTTATCCAGTTTGGTGGGAAGATTAGAGGCGTAGACTAATGTCTAAATGGGAAAAGACTTTGGAAATCTGAAGCACACAGGGTCTTGGGAGTCCTAGTTCAGGATTCTCTTGACATTAACATGCAGGTTCAGTTGGCAGTTAGGAAGGTAAATGCAATGTTAGCGTTCATTTCAAGAAGGTTAGAGTACACAAGCAGGGATGCACTACTGAGGCTGTATAAGACTCTGGTCAGACAGTGTTTAGAATATCATGAGCAGTATTGAGCCCCGTATCTAATGAAGGCTGTGTAGGTGTTGGAGGTGGTCCAGAGAATGTTTATAAGAATGATACTGGGCATGAAGGGCTCAATGTGTGAGGACTCTGGGTTTATACTCTGGAGTTTGGAAGGATGAGGGGAGATTTCAGTGAAACTTAGAGAATTTTGAGAGGCCTGGATAGAGTGAAAATGGAGATGATGTTTCCACTAGTTGGAGAGACTAGGACCCTAGGGCACAGCCTCAAAGTGAGGGGATGACCCTTTAGAACTAAGATGAAAAGGAATTTCTTCAGCCAGAGGGTGGTGAATCTGTGGAACTCAATGCCACAGAGGGCTGTGGAGGTCAAGTCATTTGAGTGTAATTAAGACAGACAGGTCCTTGATTAGTAAGGGGATCAAAGGTTATGAGGAGGAGGCAGCCGAATGGGGTTGAGAAAAATACCAGCCATGATTGAATAGCAGAACAGACTCAATGGGCTGAATGGCCTAATCCTGCTCCTACATCTTATGCTTTCTCACTCCTTCCCTCCCTTTACACAATTGCTTCCACCCTGTCCTGCTCCCTCTCACCCTCCCTGCCTCCTTTCCTCCTACCCCCCGCCCCTCCTTCTAGTCGTCTGCTCGGTCTCTCTCACTCCATCAGTATGTCACCCTCTGTCTCCGCCGTCTCTCCCCATCTCTCTATTTCTCTCTCTCTCTCATTCACATTTTGACTGTGTATTTTCAGAAATCTCCTGGTGACTACAGCAACTTTGACCGAGAGTTTCTGAGTGAGAAGCCGCGCCTGTCTCAGGGTGACAAGAATTTGATAGACTCCATGGATCAGTCTGCATTCCATGGATTTTCCTTCATTAACCCCAACATGGAGCGTCTGATCAAATAATTGCAAAATGACCAGCCCTCTAATCACACTCCTGCATTTCATCTGATTTGATTGGACCCCAGGGATGGGAGTTGGGACTGTTTTCTGGTTTTATCTAATCCACCTGTTACCATTGTGGCAATGAGTGATTCTGAGGCTGCCCATTCTTTGGGCATTACAGCGGCTGTGACCGGCTCCACATCGGGGGCCGGGGCTGGGGGTGGGGGTGGTGTCTGGGCATGGCCTCTGGTTGCCAGCCAACATACAGTCGGGTTTATTGTAAAGCTTTTCTGAGAATAGAGAAGCAAACGATGGTCATCGATGTTTTTTAAACTCTCGGCTTTTCATCTTAGTATCATTATCTCTGATTAAAGTGTACAATACTGTAAAGGTCACCTTCAAATTGCAGTATCTTTTCATCAGCTCTGAACAGTGTTTCTAATTACTGCAAGACAGACCTGGTGAAAGCACAATAATCTTGTACATGTATCGGACAGTTTTCAAAATCACTCACTGGGTGAGGGTGTTGCTGGCTGGACCAGCATTTATTGCCTGTCCTTAGTTGCCCCCTTGAGAAGGTGGGGGTGAGATGCCTTCTTAACCACTGCAGTCCATGTGCTGTAGATTGACTCACAATGCCCTTAGGGAGGGAATTCCAGGATTTTGACCCAGTGACAGTGAAGGAATGGCGATATGTTTCCAAGTCAGGATGGTGAGTGGCTAGGAGGGGAATTTGCAGGGGGTGGTGTTAAGATGTATCTGCTGCCCTTGTCCTTTTGGGAAAGATAGAAGTGTTTGTGATTTGGAAGTTGCTGTCTGAGGATCTTTGTATCAGTGTATCTTGTAGATAGCACACACTGTTGCTACAGAGCATCAGGGGGACGGGGTAGATGTCGTACCAGTCGAGTGGCTGCTTTGTCCTGGATGTTGTCAAGTTTCTTGAGTGTTTTTGAAGCTGCAACCATCCGGCCAAGTGGGGAGCATTTCATCTCATTCTTGACTTGTGCCTTGTAGATGGTCAACAGGCTTTGGAGATATAGGAGGTGAGTTACTCATTACAGGATTCCTAACCCATGACCTGCTCTTGTAGTCATTGCTTACAGATAAATAAAGAATCTTGCACCCTCCAAATCTCTCATTTTGAACTGCAGTCACTTGTTTGACCAATATAAACTAAGCATAGCAAGCTCCCACAAACTACCATATGGTTGTGGTGCTTTGGAAATGGCAGTTGTCTGGCATCTTCTGTTATACCAATGTTATCCCTAATCAGGCCAAGCCTGGGAGTTATCCAGGTCTTGCAAGTGACAAAAAATAACCTGAAGCGATGTGCTAATTCCCCACTGGTCAAATAAATGGTAGCGTTCAATGCTGGACATATGCCGAAGGCTTGGTGCCATCTGTGTGATGTGCCCGGGGAGTTCCGAGGGATGGGATGGAATATGATCAGCCTTGTGCCTGCAAACGCTCGGCCAATTTGGCCACGATATTGCATTAGTCCACATGCTGTACTGCTGGGGAGATGGTTATGATTAGAAGAACTAACTTTTATGAAACACTGTTCCCTCCTTAGGACATTCCAACAAAATTAGCAAGAATTAAACAGAAAGATGTGGTTATATAAGTACATCTCAGATCATTCTGAACAGAACCTCCAAAAGATGATTTGAGAGAGTTCCTCATTAGAGAAATAGTGGCTATGGAAAGAGAGTGAATTGACATAGGAAGGATAGTGAAGAGTAATGCAACTGAGCAGCAGGAGGTTAGATTGAATGGGCTATTCATCAGTCACTCAGTGACGCCCAGTTTGGGTTCTGCCAGGGCCACTCAGCTCCTAACCTCATTACAGCCTTGGTTCAAACATAGACAAAAGAGCTGAACTTCAGAGATGAAAAGGGAGTGACTATCCTTGACATTTAAGATCATGTTTGGTCAAGTGTGGCTTAAAGGATCCCTAGCAAAACAGAAGTCAGGGAAACTTTCAAGATCATCATCATCAGTCCAACTGACCTTCCCTGCGTCATAAGGTCAGAAATGGGGATGTTGGCTGATAATTGCGCAATGTTCAGCAACATTCGCAAGTCGTCAGATAGTGAATCAAGACCTGGACGATATCCACGGTAGGGCTGACAAGTGGCAAGTAACATTTGCCTCATATGTGACAGGCAGTGACAACTTCCAACAAGAGAGAATCTGACCACAGCCCCTTGCCTTTCATTGGCATTGCCATCACTATCAACTTTCTGGGGATTACCATTAACCAGAAACTCCGACTAGACTAGTCATATAAATGGAGTGGCTACAAGAGTAGGTGCTTCGTGCTAGATATGAGTCTAACCAGTGGCGGCCTTTCCCTCTGATTCCCATTGACTCCAGTTTTCCTCTGGCTCCTTGATATCAAGAACAGTCATGCTGACCTCCAATTTTCTACATTGTCAAGTAGATACCAGTGTTGTAATTGTACTGGAATAGCTTGGCTAGAGGTGCACATGTTCTAGAGAACAGGTCTTCAGTACAGTTGTCAAAATGTTGTCAGGGCCTGTAGCCTTTTCAGTATCCAGTGCCTCTAACTGTTTCTCATTTTGTGTGTTTTTTTTCTTTTAAATTCTCTTGCAGATATGGGCATCGCAGGCTGGGCCCGCATTTATTGTCCATCCCTAGTTGCACTTGAGAAGGTGGTGGGGATCAGCTGCCTTTGAACCACTGCAGTGTGGGATTGCAAACCCTGAGCAGGGCACAGACACTAATCATGCAGTAATAGGATTTTAAATGGAGGTGATCAAGAAGTCTGAATGAGCTGAGTGCTAGTATCTCAGCTTGTGGAGCTACAGGTGATCTAAAGATAGGGGTAGGAGCTGTGGGAGTGGATAATGTTAGAGATGTGGGAAAGGATCATCTTTGTCATGTCACACAGATGCTCAGAAAGCAGAAATTACAATTAATTGGTGGAAGGATTAGAGGGGGAGTCGAGAAGAGTCCTTTCAGCCAGAATGGTGGGGATCTGGAATGCAGACAGGATGGCTGAGGCAGAAAACTTTATTGTGTTATAAAACAAAATCTGTGGATGTGCAGCTAAAGTACTGCACCCACCAGGATTATGTTGGGTTGGTCATTCTCAGCTTGCACAGACTTGATGGGATGAATGGCTCTTTTTGTCTGCTGTAAATGTTTTCTGTTTCCAAGTCTGCCCTTAAGCTTAGGGGAGCAGATACGAAAGCGTCTTGCTCAGTGAGGATGTCTTATTCGTACCTTTTTAAGATGTGAAATTCATATAGACTCTGTGTCATTAACTTTGTTTAATTTATAATGTGCTGTTACAAAGATGGCAGCCAAAGGTCTGGTAACCTGGATTCTGAATGCAAGAACTAACTCCTGTCTCTGGAAGTCAAAAAGAAAATATAAATACATGTGGGTGGAGTCATCCCTCCTGTTTTGAAAAGACATTCTCGATACAAAATCACTTGTGATTTATAGCTCCTATTGTTTGGACCTGTACCAAAACTGAAAACAAATGCTCACCAAAACTCGGTGTCTGCAAACATAAAACCTTCAAGGGAATTTGTAAATGGCCACCATTAATTCCCATGTGTAGCGATAGCTTCTTATTTTGTTCAATTGTTTGGACAATAAAAGTAGCTGACTTCAGATAACAACAGTTTGTAACTCCAAGGACCAGCGAGGGATCATTCAGTCTAGACCCCAACAGCATGGAGGGGAGAAACCTGCCATATACCTGGCATCCCAGCCAGGAAGACAATCAATTTTCGTTATCTGCAAATTTCAGCTAAGCTTTGGGGAGACTAAATTTCAGAGAAAAACCCAGGGTCTTTCCAACCTCAATTTATCTCTAAATAATAACCATGAGCCAGAACCTATTAGGCCACAGTGCTTGTATCTTAAAGAAGTACTTTAAAATTCGACGATCTTGTTATTTTGGTCAATAATCTAAGTGCATGCTTCTTTTCCAGAATTAATCTTTCCTTGTCTGTCTGAAAGTTTGAGGGGATGATTATTTTCATTGCATTTACATTTCTGGGTATTATGTGAATAAATATTTATCTTCTCTTCTGATTTCAACTTACCAAGAAGTCTGTTTTCTGTCTGTTCTTTAAAGTGATCACCCTCAAAAGTTTACAATACTCCCTTAAAAAGATGCACCTTGCAGAGGATAAAAGTGAAGAGGTTATCCTACTCCCAGGGATTAACGCTGTTGCCTCACGCAACCAGGAACCCAGATTCAATTCCAGCCTCAGCCGACTGTGTGGAGTTTACACATTCTCCCCATGTTTGGACTGGTAGCCATAGCAGGGAATGAATCGCCTGAGAGACAGGACTAGTTTGTGGAGATGAAGGTTTCACCGCAGGGAGGTGATGCTGGAACTGTATAAAATGTTGCATAAGTGGATAGTATTGTGGGTTTTGTGTGTTGTTTTGGAGTCCACTTTACAGGAGGGATGTGATCGCACTGGAGAGGGTGCAGTGGAGATTTACCAGGATGTTGCCCGAGCTGGAGAGTTTTGGTTATGAAGAGAGATTGGACAGAGCGGGGTGCATAAATTATTTTTTATTCATTCACAGAAGGAGTGTCACTGGCTAGGACAGCATTTTTTGTGGATCCTAAGTTGCCCCAGAGTGTAGTTAAGGGTCAGCCACATTGCTGAGTGTCTGGAGTTGCATATAGGCCAGACCACACAAGAATGGCAGATTTCTTTCCCTAAAGGACAGAAGTGATCCAAATGGGTTTTCCCAACAGTTAGTCACACATTTGTGGTTGTTATTCAACTCTTTATTCTATAAATTAACCTAGAATTGAATCCCTACAATGCAGAAAGAGGCCATTCAGCCCATCAAGTCTACACCACCCAGACCCAGACCCCTATCCTATCCCTCTAACCTTGCATTTCCCATGGCTAACCCACCTAGCCTGCACATCCCTAGACACTTGTGGGCAATTTAGCATAGCTAATCCACTTAACCTGCACATCTTTGGACTGTGGGAGGGAATACATGCAGACCACCAGGAGAATGTGCAAACTCCACACAGAGTTGTCTCAGGGTGGCAATCAAACCCCGGTCCCTGGCGCTGAGACAGCAGTGCTGACCACTGAGCCACCGTGCCTACTGGATCAAAAACGGAAATTGCTGGAAAAGCTCAGCAGGTCTGGCAGCATCTGTGAAGAAAAAAATCAGAGTTAACGTTTTGGGGTCTGTTGATCCTTCCTCAGAACTGATGGTGGATGGAAAATTGTTGATTTATATGCAGAAAATGGGAGGAGGATGGGTTAAGGAGTAAATGATAGGATAAAGGATAGAGCCCAAAGAGAGAGAGAACAGCAGTTGATAGACAAAGGAGTTGATAACAATCTGGCTGGGAGGGAGAATAGTTGTTA